TGGTGGTGTTGGTTTCTTCTCAAGAGGTATTGCTGTTTGTTCGGTGCGTGTTTGTTGTAACAGTTGCCTTTGAGAGTGGTGTTGCAGATGTTTAAGAAAAAAACCAAGCTGGGCCTACTGGGCCGGGTGTGTAATCCGCGCTCCGCATGTGAAAGGCAGGTTCTAAGTGTGTTTTTGTAAAGCAGGAGGAGTAGGTGTGGTAAGAGTGACAAGCACTGTGCATTGTTCCAGTTTTCCTCATAGGTGTAGGTGTGCGTTCCCAAGAACCTCTTGTGAAAGGCAGGTTCTAAGTGTGTTTTTGTAAAGCAGGAGGAGTAGGTGTGGTAAGAGTGACAACCACTGTGCATTGTTCTAGTTTTCCTCATAGGTGTGGGTGTGCGTTCCCAAGAACTCCCCTATCAGAAGAAAGAAAAATAATGTGGTTCCAGCACTGCGAGTTCTTATTTCTAACTTTGATCTGCTCCTGGGGCCAGGTGTCTGGAATTAAAAATATGAGCTACATAGCTGGGCGTGGAAGCGCATACCTGTCACCCAGCACTGTGGGACGCTGAGGCAGGAGGATCTCACATTCAGCCCAGCCTGGGTAACTTAGCCATTTAGTAAAACCCTGTCTCAAAAATAAAAAATAAATAAAGGGCTGGGGATGTATCCCAGTGCAAAGGCCCTCTGTTGCATCATCCAACAAATAAAAACCTAAAAACGCTCAAGTGTTGTGGGATAAATAAAAGGACTGTAACCTGGGCAGCACAAACCTGTCCACGCCGCCGTGCCCAGGGTGCGGGCGAGGACAGGACTCAGCAGGGGTATTGTTTCCATGCCTTTTTATTATTTATTTACCTGGGCACCAGTGTGTTTTTCCATATAGCCATGGGGCAGCTTTGCTGACGAGCTCCTCGCTGTTATTGTTGGAGTTTTTCTTTTGTGCTGCCTCTCCTGTACTTCAAGTTTATGCCGCCTTCTGTGCGCAGCTGAGAAACCCAGTGATTATACCTTTTTAAAAAGCCTGCTTCTCAGCGCCCGAGTGCTCTCAGGTGCACCATCCCGGCGCTTGGGCAAAGCCTCCAGGGTTTCTTCGGAGCTTGGCTGATGGTCCCTGGCCAAGCACCTCACCTGTCTTGTGGGATGCTGGTGACTTTTTCTTTCTTTTTTAAAAAATTTTTTTAAAGACAGGGTCTCACTGTGTAGCCCAGGCTGGCCTCGAATTTGCAGGGATCCTCCTGCCTCAGCCTCCCATGTACTAGGGTTACACCTGGCACAGTCACCTGAGGGTTGGCAGATCACAGGTCACTCTCCAAGTGTGAACGTTACAAAGAGGAAGCTCCTGGCCTCTCTGTTTATGTAGGAAGGTCGCACAGGGACCATCTGGGGACATTTTGTTGGACTCACTGACTGGACAGCAACCGGACACCTGTGTGCCAGCTAGGCGCTGTTAAGACTTTATGGCCCTAGGTCCCACGTGGTTATCCCCACACGGTGTCTGTTTCACACTGTCCTCCCCACCCCAAGAACTCCAGCTCTTCCCAGGGCCTCCCACCTCTGCCCACCCCAGCACCTGCAGACTGAATCCCAGCACTCTGGGAGGCTGAGGCAGGAGGATCCAAGTTTGAGTTCTGCCTAGGGGACTTGTCAAGACCCTGTCTCAAAATGAAAACAGAGGGCTGGGGATGTAGCTCAGTTTGAAGGTCCTGGTTCAGTTCCCAGTAACTCCCCCCACCCCAAAGTAAAAACCCAGAACAGTAACCCCACAGTGACACCTGATTCTCATGCTTAAAATCTCATGTGGCTTTGAAGATTCCCTTCTGAGTGACCAGGAAAGTGTGGTCTGAGAGCTCTGAGGGTGGTGTGTGCAGGGGACTCAAGTCTCAAGGTCAAGCGTGGTGGCCTTTAATCTTTTTTCCTGATATCAGAGGTTGAACTCAGGACCTTGCTCTTATAAGACAGGCACAACGCCACTGAGCTACATCCCTGGGCCAAAGCTTGGTTTTTAAAGCTTGGTGCACCTCAGGAACCTTGGGGGCCCTGTTTTTCTATAAACAAAGTCACTTCCCCACTCTGGTCGCATGTTTCTGATGAACACAAGCCGTGGGGCCAGGTGGGGCCAGCGCTGGGTGGAGCTGTGGCCAGAAGCCAAGTGACCTGGGGCCTGGGGCCTTTGCACCGAGCTGCATCCCCAGCACCTTTTTTTTTTCTTTTACATTTCGAGACAAGCTGGGTGTGGCAGCACACATCTGTAATCCCAGCACTCAGAAAGCTGAGGCAGGAGGATTGTCTTGAATTTGAGGCCAGCCTGGGCTACACAGTGAGTTCCAGGCCAGCCTGAACTACACAGCAAGACCCTGTCTCAGAAAAACAAAACCGAACCTATACTTGACCTGGGGAGTCCTCCACCCCCAAGGACCATGTCCACAAGGTGGGGCTGATCAGTCCAGACCTCTCTCTGGGTAGACAAGTAGGTGAGTGGCTTTCGTTTTGATTTTTGAGAAGCTGTGGTGGTAACCACAGATAGTGCGTGTGGCCTGCTCCTCTCCACTCTGTGACATTGTCCTTTAGAGGCAGCACATCGGTGACCTTCCTCACTGTCCTTGGAGACTTCCTGGAGGCCTGTTAGATCTGGCGGCTCCCTTGTGGGTGACACCGAGGTGGCTTTTTGTCTGCAGTCACGAGGAACCTTGGGCTCAAGCCCTGGAGCTGAGCTGGGATTAGCAGAAAGACAAATTCCTGCAACTGAAATTATTGGCTCAAAATATCCATGTGGCCGCAGGACTGTCATCTCAGCAATCAGGAGGCTGAGGCAGGAGGATCGCCATGAGTTTGAGGCCAGCCTGGGCTATCTAGTGAGATCATCCCTTCTCCCCCCAAAAAAACTAAAAAACCATAGGGCCAGGGATTTAGCTCAGTGGTGCTGCTGCCTGCCTTGAAAGTGCAAGAACCTGAGTTCGATCCCTAGCACCAAAAAACAAAACAAAACAAAACAAAAAAATCCACGTGTTAAAGATTTGGTAGATTTTTAGCCAAGCACAACGGCACACACCTGTTTTCCCAGCCCCTACTGGAATAGATACTGAACTTGGGGTGATTCGAGAACCCGGCCTGACCCACTTTGAATCGCACAAACAGGTCTTGGCCTTACAGTTATTCATTTGTTTACAGAACTGGGGATGGAATCAGGGCCTTTGCACTGAGCTACATCTCCAGCCTTTCTTTGGGGTGGGGAGGGTACCGGGGATCGAACTTGGGACCTTGTGCTTGCGAGGCAGGCAGCGGAACCACTGAGCTAAATCCCTGATTCCTCCAGCCTTTTTTATTTTGAGACAGAGTCTTCGCAAATCGCCCAGGTAGGAGTTGAACTTAAGATCCTCCTGCCTCAGCCTCCCAGAGTGCTGGGGTGAGAGGCATGACCACCATGCCTGGCTTCAGTGCTCTTTCCAGAGACCAGAGTTGATTTTCTGCTGTCAGATCAGAACCAGGTCATAGTAGACAGTGTCGCTGAGAGGGACGTCTCCCCCGTGTGTGTTCAGCCTGGCCTCAGTCTCAGTTTCCCGGATGTTGATTATAATGCAGCTCTCCATAGACCCAGCTTTCGGGACCCCACGGCTGGATCTCCCGCTGCTCCCTAGAACAGCTCTCTATTGTTGAATCTTCTGGCTGTTTCAGTGTTTTACATTTAGCACCAGCACTGTAAGAGCATCGCTGCATTCACAAAACTTTTTCTGGTTTTCCTGTTTCCTTGAAGTGGAATTACTGGTTCATGGGCTGTTAACACTTGAAGTCCCCCCACCCCATCTCTGCAGTTCTAGGTATAGAACACAGGGCCTTTGCACTGAGCTACATCCCCAGCCCTCTTTATTTTTTATTTTGAGACAGGGTTTTGCTAAGTTGTCCATGCTGGGCTCAAACTTGAGATTCTCCTGCCTCAGCTTTGCAGAGGGGTAGGATACCAGCTACCGGGTGGCTGGTAACTCTTGAAGTCTCTTCCTGCAGACCCCAGTGATGTCCACACGAGTGCCAGGCTCCTGCTCTGCCTGCTTCAAGCTCTTACCCAGGATTCTCTCTTCCCCTCCACAGCCTCATAAAGCGAATGGCGCAGAGTGTGGCGGACGTCATGGAAGACTCCGAGGGCAAGGTGCAGGAGAACCTGCTTGCTAACGGAGGTGGGCGTGCCCAGGGTTCTGTCCCCGGGGGGCCCCGGTGGTCCCACAAGTTTCCAAGGGGTTGGATGGGGGCCGTGCACTCTGCTCCCTTTCTAATCTCCATGCTCTTTTGCCTACTTCCAGGGTGTGTGGGTTTTTTCCCTTTTGGTTTTTTGAGACAGGGTCTTGCCGTGTAGTTCAGGCTGGCCTTGAACTTGGCAGGTTCTCACTAAGTTGCTCAGGCTGGCCTCCAACTTGCAGCAATCCTCCTGCCTCAGCCTCCTGAGCGCTGGGATGGCAGGTGTGCGCCGTCGAACCCGGCTAGCATGTGGCATCCTTACCCTGTCTCTGAACTCCTCGGTGAGCTTTGACATGATGGGGTCCTGGGGTGTCTGATCCCAACCTCTTTGCTGTTGGCTCCAACACCTTCCCCCCAACATGCAAAATCCCAAGCAGCCAACCTCAGGGAGCCAGTCTCCAAGGCCACCCCTCCAAAGCCTCCTGCCCCACCCCCATTTGGAATTTCCATCCCCACCCCCTGTGCTGACAGCGGATCTCTCTAGGTCCCAGTGATGACTCAGTCACTAAATGTGTCCATTCCCTTTGAAAGCATTTAAATTGCACAGCACAAAAGCCGGGCGTGGTGGCGCATACCTGTCATCCCTGCACTCAGGAGGCTGAGGCAGGAGGATCACAAGTTGAAGCCCAGGCTGGGCAACTTAGTGAGAACCTGCCTCAAAATGAAACAAAAAAGGGCTGGGTGTGTCATTGAGCACAGAGGCCCCTGTTCTGTTCCCAGTACCACACACGTGCACACAACTACACACAGCTCAGAGACTTTGGAAACTTGAAAATTAAATATCTAACTGTCTGCAGTGATAATGAAGGTGATTGTGTGTTTATTGAAAGTGAGGCCATTAAAATTCCTATCATTTGTTATAAATTTAACACATATATGTTCTTGTTTCTGTCCTTCCGACACACAAGGAGGTGTTTTATTTGCTGCCTGACGCCAACACATGGAAATGTGAGGACCTTGGCGCTGTGGGTCCCGGGTGTAATAACTGCACCTTCTTACATTGCAGGTTTGCAGGAGAAAATGAGGTGTTTAAAGCGTAGGTTGTGCCCCGTGTGTGCTGCCCGGTGCCGTGTGCTGTGCATGTCGGGTTTGGGGGGGTCAGAGGTCAGGTTGCCATGGCTCCTTGATCACAAGTTTCCTTCCTTTCTCCTGTCACCCTGCCTCTCCCAAGAGGGCTGCATGCCAGCTGGGGTTTGTTCTGTTGTTTATTGTTTGAGACAGGGTCTCACTGTGTAGTCCAGGCTGGCCTCAGACTCTTGGTGATCCTCCTGCCTCAGCCTCCCAAGTGCTGGCATGACAGGTGTGCGCCACCACGCCTGCTGCAGTTTCTCCTTTAGTCGTGGGGCCGAGGGGATCTGCCTGTGCTGGCTCCTTCTCACCACAGTAGCCAGCCCTAGTGGGGCGCAGGTGAATTAGATGGGGTGAGTCATGGTCCTAGCCCACGGGACGTGAGCCATAAATGTCCCCTGATGCAAAGCCCAGGTCACCATGTGATGTCAAGGCATTTTCTGCCTCTGGGGCGGCCACTCTGCACCACCCCAGTGCCCCCTGAGTCCTCTTTGGTTTCCAGATTCTTCCTGGGGTCTTGGTCCCCATATCAGCCTTGCCCCAGGCTGGGCTCTGGCCTCTGCCCAGCCACCTACCTGGGTGTCTGGGTGTCACCTGCCCCGTGCCCTGTGTGGCCTCGGCTGTGCCTCCCACCTCTTCCTCCTCCCTCCAGGGCTGCAGTGGCCCCTCTTCCCCTCCCCCCATGCACGCCGGCCATCCTCTCTCCAGAGTCCCCTTGCGCTGTTGCAGTGGTCCCATCCAGCGCCACTGTCCCTGTGCAGTGATCTCAGTGCCCTGCATTGAGTTCTCAGTGCCCACAGCTGGGCTGCCCTTGAGCTCATTGCAAGCCCAGGCTGGCCTCGAACTCACGGCACTTGTCTTGCCTCAGCCTCCGGAGTGCTGAGATGGCAGATATGCACCACCACCCTGGCTGATGGCACTGGATCCGCTTTGAAATGAGGTGTGCACAGAGCCTGAGTGAGAAATCCCACTCTGGTGGCCATCTGGCCAGGCTAGGGGGATTCCAGGAGCCACTGAAGCCCTGGAGCACCCACTGGGCTTTCTGGAGAAAGAAGGAATGAGTCTAGTGCAGTGGGGTGCACCTGCCACTCCCAGGCACTTGGAAGGCTGAGGCAGGAGGATCTCTGGAGTCCAGGAGTAGAGGTCAGCCTGGGTAACAGAATAAGACTACATCTCAAGAAGGAGAGAAGAACAGAGGGAAGGAAGAAGAGAAGAGGGAGCCAGGAGTGAATCTGGGCTGTGTCCCTCTGTAAGCACAGAACTGGAGGGAGCAGGCGTGGGGATGCGACACCCGGCTCCCAGGTACAAAGGCTGACTTAACCCTGTGGGGCCACCAAGCCTCCGTGTGGCCTCTGACCTCAAGCCCAGGGTCTCCCAGCTCCTCAGTGGGTGTGACAGGGACAGAAACCCCTGCCCTGAGGGCGGTGGTTTGGTTTGGTTTGGTTTCGGAGACAGGGAAGCTACCCCTGTGTCCGTCCACTTCGCTTCATGCAGAGCCCGCGCTGGAGGCACACACGGAAAATCCCAGCACTTGGGAGGCTGAGGCGGGAGGAGCATAAGTCGGAGCCCAGCTTGGACAACTGGGGGACTTTGAGAGACCCTGTCTCAAACTAAAATATAAAAAAGGCTGTGGATGAGCTTGATGTGAAGGCCCTGGGTTCAGAAAACAAAACCCCAAGTGATGTGGCTCAGACAGCTGCGGAAGTGGCCAGGGCCTCTGAGGACGTCACCAGGGTGGCCTCCGGCCCAGTGGGTCCCTGGGGTGGGCACTGTGGAGTGGGCCTGGCAATGAAGTGCCCGCCATGTGCCCTTCCTTGGCTGTGCCAGGCTTTGCAGAGGGCTCGGGCTTGGGCTGGCGGCCACCGCGGGGTCTGTGACAGGGCCCGGCTGTCCCCGCTTCTCCCTGCTGCGCCCCAGGTGTGAGCGTGAGCCCGGCTGTGGGGCAGTGGGGCGCTGAGTGTGTCTGTGTCCCCAGGCGGCCTGACGTCCTTCGTGACTCACTTCGAATGGGACATGGCCAAGTACCCTGCCAAGCAGCCGCTAGTGAGCGTGGTGGATGCCGTGGCAAAGGTGAGGGACGGTGCGGGGTTGGGCAGCAGCTGAGCTGAGGCAGGAGGCCAGGTTCCAGCCCTGCCCGGAGACCCTGCGTCCTGTGCGCTGCAGCTGCCCTGCTCCTCCCCTGCCTGTTTTTATCCTAAGGCTGGGCTCCGGCTTGCAGTCCTCCTGCCTCAGCCTCCTGAGTACTGGGTTGATGGGTGTGCGCCCCGTGCCCGGCTTTGCGGGTCACATCTCTGATAACTGTCACTCTCACTCCGCAACACCCTGGCTACGTCCTGTCTCCTGCCCGCCCAGCCCCAGCGGTTAGAGAAAGCTTCAGCCTGGCAGGGAGAAAGCCACCCAGCTCTCCGGATCCTGTGGGGTGGGTGGTCAGGGGGGGCCGTGGGCTCCTGGGTCCCCAGGAAGGGGGTGGAATCCGGGTGTGGCCAGGTGACACTTGTATCACAGCCTAGGCCTCCCGGAACAGGTGGGGTGACTGGAGGGCCCTCGAGGACACCCGCCGGGCACGTCCCACTGGGCATCTGGGGTGGCTGCGCCCCGCCCTGCCCTGGACCAGCCAGGGCACTTGAGGCCCAGAGGTGCCTGCTGGAGCTGAGGAGGCCCTGGAGCACAGGGGGTGGGGTGGGGAGTGGAGTCGGGGCGGGGCTTGGCTTCCGTCCTACTCGGCTGCCAGGAGGGACTTGCGGCAGGAGCAGGGGCGGGGACCTTGATCTGTTTTGTTTGGGGCAGCAGTTTGGGCTTTGGCAGGGAGCTCCATTCCCAGCCCTTTCTATTTCTTATTTTAAGGCAGGGTCTTAATAAATCCCTAAGTCGCCCAGACAGGGCTCCAACTTGCAACCCTCCTGCCTCAGCCTGCAGCTGGGGTCACAGGTGTGCACCACCTGCCCGGTTAGGGACCCTGGTTTTGATAGCGTCCTAAGGCGCCTGACTCTCTTGCTTCCCACTGGCCCCAAAGAGATTTCATGAGGACACAGTTAGGGGTCACAGGGGGTAGGGACCAAAGCCCAGGGGCTTCCGTGTGCACAGACTGCTGTTCCGGGCCCAGGGATTCATCCCACACCAGCGACGCCTGTGTGACCCCAGCCAGAACGAGCCGGGGCGGGGGCAGCCTGGTGTCACCTGGCCCGTGGTTCCGAGGCTGCTTCCTTCTCCCAGCAGCCCCGGTAGCTTGGCCCTGCTCTGTGGGGGGATCAGAACATTGAGAATTAGGGGTGGTTTTTGTCCTCCATTTCTTTCTTTTTTTTCAAGGCTGAGGCTTGAGTTTGGACCCTTGCATGTGCTAGGCCAGTTTTGTTTTGTTTTGTTTTTCTTTGAAGTACAAACCTTATTTCACAAAGCAGAGCCCAGCTGGTTGTGACCGGAAGTTGCTGTTGGCCCAGGGCAGGCGGAATGTGTTTTTGATCTTGAGAATCTTGTTAGGTCTCGGTGCCCAGGTTGGGGAAGACACAGGGCACTGTCACCTCCCAGCCCCCAGGTGCTGCCGACCCCAAGGTCTGGAAGCTGTGACGCAGAGACAGTGGGGTCCCCTGGGACCCCTGACACAGGACACTCGGTGACCATTCAGAAAAGTCCCAGGGACTCCTTCAGTCTTGTCACCTGAGCTGTTCCTTTGACACAGCAACTGGTGCAGATCGACACAGACGTGAAGTCACGCACAGCCGCCTACAGTGCGCTGAAGACGGCGCTGGAGAACCTGGAGAGGAGGTCCACGTGCGTAGCCCAGGCACTGGGACGGACCTATGTGGACAGGGCAGCTGCTGCCCCAGCAGTGCCTTCTCCTCTGGGGGCTTGCTGGGCACCTTGATGTGGTTTTGGTGTTGTGACACAGAGTCTCACCGTACAGTCCAGGCTGGCCCCGATCTCACTATGTAGCCTGGACCGGAGATCTTCCTGCCTCAGCCTACCAGGAGCTGGGATTACAGTCCTGTTCTTGGAAACATTTATGAGGAAAGCTGTTGTACTGCTGCCACAGCCCTCGGGCTAGGCCCCATCTGTGCCGCGTCAGCCTCGGGAGCTGGCTGTGTGTTGGTGGCCGTGGTGTTTGGATACCAGCTGTGTTGGCCCACATGGCAGCCCTGACCCAGATGCGAACACCACCTGCTTTGTTCAGGCCTGGCCTGGGGCCCGCGAAGCCCCTCCAGGGGCGTGTCCCCCCACCCTGTACCCCAGCTGCTCTGTAAAGTGACCCAGAATTAGACCTAGCTGCGGGCAGCCGCACGGCTTTGAGAGCTGGCTGAGTAGCAACATTTGAGTCCTTTCAGTGCCACCACCGGACGGCCCCTCTATGCAGCCACCGGGAAGCGTGGCTCCTGGAGGTGTGGGAACTGGCGGCCCCTCGGGAGACTGGTGACACTGACTGAGGTTCTGCCAGCCTCCCTGTCCCCGAGGGGAGGGGACAGCAGCTCTGGCTGCCCAGCATGGAGCCGGGTGATGGTCTCTTAGGTGTGGTGGGGCACACCGGTCATCCCAGCACTCTGGAGGCTGAGGCAGGAGTTCCTGGTGGGCACCTGCCTCAACAAACCCTAAAAAGGGGCTCACCCGTGTCCTGGGCTCTGACATCCACGGCCCAGCCCCTGGGGACTGTCCCCAGCTTTCACCTTTCTGGGCGGTGGGACAGGGGCCCCTCCTGCTGTCACAGCCTGTGTCCTGTTGCCCTGCAGGGGAAACCTCTTCACACGGACGCTGAGTGACATCGTGAGCAAGGAGGACTTCGTGCTGGATTCCGAATACCTGGTCACCCTCCTGGTCATTGTCCCCAAGTACGTGGACCAGGGAGGGCTGGTGTCAGTGTTGTGGCCTCCTGCTCAGAGCAGAGGAGAGTGGCACCTCTGCCCCCACCAACATCCCTGTAAGGGGTCCTGAGGTGCCGGACGTGGCTGGGCCAGCGGTCCCTGGCCTTGGGACACAGGGCTGTCCTCGTCACCTCCCTGCTGCGTTCGGCCCCTTGGAAGGTGACTATCTTCCTGCAGGGCCAGCTACTCACAGTGGCAGAGGACCTACGAGTCCCTCTCGGACATGGTGGTCCCTCGGTCGACCAAGTAAGTAACACCCTCTCAGCCTGGGGTCCCCACAGTGTGGCCACCATCCATCCCCCTGCAGCAGTTCTCTGCAAATGACAAGAGGGGGCAGCTGGGTGGGGTGGTGCACACCAATTATCCCAGGGAGGCTGAGGCAGGAGGATCAAAAGTTTGAGCCTAGCCTGGGCAACTTGGCAAGACCCTGGCTCAAAGTAAAGTAAAGTA